CCCAGGCTCTTCCCAAAGTAGTAGAACCCCAGCACCATACCATGAATCGTGCAATTATACACCGCCGTGGTTTAGCCTTATTTGATATGACCCCCTCAATCAACTCACTGTATGTTTGCACTCTTCTTGTCTGTTGTCCTTTCGTTATTCGACCCTCTTAGCTCTCGTCTGGCGACCTACTGTACCTCATCCGGTCAGTGCACAGCTGCTCCATGCTAGCTGCGCAGCTGTCACTCGTTTATGACACGTAATTAATAGTAGTTCTGCATTGTCACTGGCTTCTCCAGGCTGTCTTCCCTAGTTTTATTCCTTCAGCACCACAGCATAGTCTTATTATATGCGCATCGTTGCATCTTCGCCTATTTTAGCTATATATATTTCAGATATTTAACGTGTGCCTGGGATTCATCCGTTCGTTGTGCTTTCTTCAGGAAGCCTTTCTTTTTTCTCTTGCATGCATATCCATATATTCAGCGCAAACCGCTGTTCTGCCTCGCCCTTCTTACTGTCCAGTTATACTTTACTTGATGTATTGTCTTAGACCTTATTACCTGCAATCATCCAAATCTCGGGCTAGCATTCTCTGGCACTATCCAGCTTGGTACTATTATCTTAGCACCTTAGCTGCTGCGGTTAGGCCTCACTGCTCTGATACTCTAAGCAACCTTACCCTACGCTTGCATTTCGGCAATTCCCTGCTTCTCTGTCGATTAATGTTTCTTAGCCTCTTAGTTCTTCCCTCCTCTCACTTCGCCAGCACACAGAGGCCCGTTAGCTTCACATTTCTAGGTGCTCATTTCTCATCATTTTCTTAGCACCATAGTATGACTTGTTTCTCTGCGCGACGCTACATATACATTTGTTCTGCACGTTCACTTTCCTTTAACTGATCTATAATACTTCACTTCTATCGATCAATCCTTTCTCACCTAGTAATCTGGGTCCGTTCTTGCAGCAAAGGTTTCAACACTTACCCTTGTAGGAGGTTAGTTTTCATAATCTTTTACTATTTCAGTAGGCCATAGCACTATACTCCTAGTACCCTCGTGTCGTCTTTCTGTCTTGATCACCCGATAATTTTTACTCAGCGCTTGAGCCCTATCTATCCGCTGACTTACCACCAATTGACCTATGAATCTCTTTCGATGTAGGCTGGCCACCAACTGTCTATCCACCATTCAAACGCCGCTGGTCCCTGAACTCTGCTTTCTGTCTTTCCATGCAATAGCCGCATCATAGTAAACTGATCCAGCGTATCTGCTTAATGGCGCAACGCTCTGTATTCCATGTAGATAGTAGCAACCAACTTATAGGGCCATTGCCTTCGAAAAACATTCAAAAAACAACTTCAGCGCAACCATTGCTGCAAATTGTACATCACTTGTCTCCACTCTAAATGTTATAACATAGGAGTTTAACAATGCTTGTTTCCACGCCTGTTCGTTGCGGCCTTGGTTGTCTCTCACCTTCCCTTTTCTCCGAGGTCCGGGACTTCTTGGGGATCTGGGATTGGACGGATAAACCGCTTTGATCCGGGGCAGGACAACCAATAGTGACCCATGAAGCACATGGCTGAACAATAAACGGATACAACAGCACTCAATACCATGACCGTTGTCCAGTGATGCTAGCTGGATTCGAGAACTTCACACTCCTGAAAAGAATACATACTCCTGAAAAATCCAGACGCAAGAAACTGACGTTTCTCCCACCTGAACACCCACAAAGACGATTCGCCGTGACGCCCCCATCTGCGATTCGCCCCAGCCATTATGGCGGCCCAAGATACCTGATCAAATGACATAGGAAATTGAAGGTAATTTGACTGCGGATATCTGAGTGTGAAATCAGCCGACAACCTGGTGTGCCAGTTGTATATTAGTGCACGGACAAATGTCTGACAGTATTCCAGGACGTGGTGGGTTTTCGCCTGGCAAGCGTTCTCCCTATAAAAAGCCACAAATGTCTGTATAACAACACTGCGACGTGGCGGATGTGACTCGCCACTGAACAAAGTCACTGCCCAAAACAACCTACCGGCAAGTCGACCAGAATCACGATCCAGTATTGCCCTGACACTTTCAATAATAAGTTACACCAAGCCTATATGTATCGTCTTCATTAAATATGCAGTGCCCTGACTGTTTACACTACGCACGCTAGAATTCAACGTTTCGTCATTCTTTGAAGACTTTATCCCTCATGACTACTTACACAATTTCCGCAGCCTGTGGAATCTTCGGCTTACTGCCGACTACACTCATAGCAACGTGTTTGTTGCGAAGCAATATTGCATGTAAATATTGAGCATGCCTTGCTTGGTGTGTCACGACAAATTCGAGGATAAACTGTTTATTTTTTCTTTTATTTATGCTTCATGAACTAGCTTTACCAGATTGGTAACATTAGAGAAGGAGAAAGTAGGTGGTCTGACACACAACCGATTAGGAGGTCGAGGTGGCCACGGATGACTTGACTCCAAACGAAATCTTTCGGGAAGCCAAAGGAAATATCTGAGAAAGTAAGTGCATGAGCGTCCTTGTTGACGTAAACAATACAGCCACCTACACGTTGATTGGCACGTCTATTTCAAAAAAATAATCTTATCTGGCACCGCAGCAGCGCATCAGAGGCATCAGGTGAATGTCATGTTTCTGTAATAAGTATTACCTGCGGACAGAACAACAAAATTAAAAGTCTTAGAAGATGCGTTTTATGCCGGATTGATCGCACTTTCAGAAGATTTTATATGGTTCGTTATTTGGTACAGATGAGTTTGCGCTCAGTGCGGAATTCATGGTAGCAAAGGTAGCAGCGTCAGTTTCCGCTTCCTCATACAACAGAGCAGGTTGTAGGAATGAGTCCGCCTAGTTACCACGGCGAAAGGACGCAGAGGAGACAGGTTTATGCTTGTGGGAAAGGTGATTGACGAGGAGTAAGGTATTGGTAGGGATATATTGGACGTAAACGTTAGGAGATAACGATGGACTATAGTGCTTGTGCAGCCGTGATGGGCGTAGTACTGCTAGAGGATATTTGGTTATCGTGGTATCTGTATCACATTCTCAGACTCGGAGAGTGGAGTGGGCAGGTTTATGTGAAATGGAAAGGCTCTAGATTAGGTCTTCGATTGGAGGCGAAGACGACAAGTGCATAGGTGCGATAAGAAGTGTCGCAGAGGAAGCAGAAGCCTTCGGTGTCATTGCTCCGGGGCCGATGTGTTGAGCAGGTGGTTAAAATTTGAGCAGCTTCACCTGGGGTGATAAAGACTGATGATGTATGACCTTGCTGAAATTCCTATTTAGTGAGCCGGCCCCTGCAGGAGGTGTTGGAAAGGTTGGTAGGAAATGCGCAAAGGCATCTGTGGGATGTTTAATGACATGTAAAATTGATAATCAGCAACCTCTTCCTGCAGTCTTGTGAGTTGTGTCGAGCCGTAGCCCGTCATATACCATAAAACAGGAACGGGGATTGGTAGTGATGAGTTAGGCAGTTCAGTTGTCATACGAAGGCGTGTAAGGTGCGGAGCCGGGAACGTAGGTCACTTTACTTCACGGAGCGCTCTACAGACAACGATGTTGTAGAGGGAAACCTGCTATTGGTTATAGTTACAGTCTTCTCGGTAGAACCGCGGAAACCGTGGCATTGGTAGTAGCGTGTGGATTCGTCTACAAACCGTGTTTTATTGGACAGCCTCGAATTCGGAGATTAGTTTGTCTGGGAGCGGAGTGGAGGCACAGTAAAGTTGTGCACCAACTCGGTTCTACCGATTAGAGTTAGTGCGGGGCGGGCATCTCGCAGTTTCTGGCCCGGACTGAGGGTATTGGCTTTTATATGGTGAGCTTCTTGTGCCGGGGTTGGACGAATTTACCGTTTCCTGGGAGATGGCACTTGTATGTTCGTAGTCATAGGCTCCTACAGTTTCACATACCTGTGCTGGAGTTACTGAGGGCAACAAACTGCCTCAGCTTTTAACGGAACACCAACAAATGTTAAGTTTTTGTGTAGCATTCAGCGGTAGTTGCGAAACAAGCATTCAAAATTTAGCTTCCCGCCACGAGGACCATGACAGTTCCTCAGTAGGCCAGATAGCAGATACCTCATCTACAGCCCGTAGCGGCCAAGTTATGTAACAACCGACGGAATAAAGGCTGCAATCGTGTGAGCAACTCTATAAAATTTGCAATCCTGGAGGTTGCTAGGGTTTATCGGCTAACATTTAAGCGAGAGACGTAACCCGATTATAGCCTAGTGCTAGCGTGCCGGCCGGAAAACCATGCGGACGATGTTAGCATCCGAAGTGCGTACGATGCTTGTACTCACTCCGGCGACCCATATATTAAATTTGAACGAAACAGAGTAGGTTGCCATGGCTACTGCGCAAGGATGAAACACAAACAATAATACCATAAAAGGGTTTTACGTTTGCACCGCTATAGGGATAACTCACCTCATTCTAAAGTTCTTTCTGCACGTCATTCTAGGTTAAGCTGAAGCATCAAGGCGTACTTTGAGCAGCATTGCTTTCCAGGTTTCTTTGCGGAGTTTTCCTACGTTTCCTGCTAGCAAGACATTGGCGTACTGCCCCATTGTTTGTGTGGCCTTTATTAACGATAGAGACTTGCACGCAATAATCACATTGTCCCGCATCGTCGAATTTATATGGCCTGAAGAATGTTTATTGGTTAATTACGGCATAAATTTGCCCATATACCCCCAGTTAAGCGGGAATCCGTGGCAAAACAATTATAAGTTTGAATGTCAGCCATTCGCTAATCTACTGCGCACGTTCCAAAGTTCGCTTGGCAGCAGAATTCCCCGCTAAACCTAAGTCTCGCAAAATATCAATTTGCTGTGTCAAGGTCACAGTCGAAAATGTCCTTAAAAATAAATAATATTAGGGTCTAAAGGAAAAGAAAAAGCTTTTATATTTTTCTTATGCATATAAGGATGTTTTTTAAAGGTTGCTCGTTGTTGCTGCTGTTATAAATGCTGAAAGCGTAGGTCGGTCCGTAACCCAAGGTCACCACCTGACAGTTTCTCCACTCCGGTCCATTGGAAGTTATGATGAAGACAGAGCCTAAACTCCCGACTGTGGAGCGCATCGTGAGCAGTAAGTGCCTGCCTTATCCACTTTCGCAGAATGCATCGCTAGACATTTACGATTGGCCATGTAATTGTTTTCCCTCTCAAAACCTATTAAGCCTTCAGGTTATTACACTTATTTTCGCGCAACGCGTTTCATTTACTGTTACGGTGTTTCTTGAATAAGCCAGCCCCCTACCATTATTCATCTTAATTTCTCTGTTTACATGAGAAAACTTGTTAAACATTCCCCTGTCCGCACAGATGGACGGCCAGCCGTCCCACTTGGGCGTCTTGTTCACTCTTAAAGGGTAACTATGATGATGAATGGCGTGGTTTGTCTTTTATGTTGCTAAATATGGCAAGCCTACATATTTATCCCCTCGTTTTTTCCTAAAAACATATTAAAATTGTATTTTCAGTCAGCGCTAGTGCCCGTTTGGGCTCCCTGTGTGACCAATTTTTTTTAACCATAGGCCGTTCCAATTGAACACATTTGAGACGAATTTCTGTCACTGAAAACATTTTAGGTTTGGCCCAACGGCTATCATATTACGTACATACGATTTGGGAATCGATTTCCAATTGATGTTGTCGGTATCTGCAACCGGGAAAAATGCACTATAAGTGTCGATGGAAAAACCTGACTAAATGATTTCAATCGAAACAGTCAAGAGCACAAGTGTTGGTCACTCAGGAAGCTTCCACGGTCACTCCAGCAGACACTTTTTTGTCACTCGTGTTATGCAGGTTGATCTCTTGATATTCCCAGTCTGTTAAATTGTCCTTATATCAATTGCTCCCAACGGCACAGCTTCATTGTTGTCTTTAACTCATATGGCGGATCAATTTGGCTTTATCGACAAGCTGCTCCTACCATCTAAACATGTGTGGTCGATAGGTGTACATTGCAATCGGCTGTCGCTCAGCGGCCGATTTTTGTGCCGCTAGTTGTCTCAATGAGAGACCGAACGGATTTCGTTTATTCGAACACAGCCTTTCCTAATGTAACATTAGCCTACGTTGTGAATTCATTTTTCTGATCGTAAATACGGTCCGCGATTGGACGATTGATTTCCTGACCGCTCTGGTCGCGCAGACGGACGGCCAGCAACCATTTATGCGCGTTTTGGTCACTCGCAGGGGCTCATGTTCTGTAAGAGCTTCGCGTGAACAATGAGCGTGTGCGGCATCGTGTGTTTGGTGCAAGAAGATCTTGAACCGCTCATCACTGTTATATCTCGTATCAGGCTCCGATGACCAGGCGACGTGTTGTGCATGGCAACCTACCGACTCCCGCGTCACGCGTTTGCGCGACGGGGTTGCGGATAAAAAAAAGTGTGGGGTGGCCATGCGATGGCATGGTCAAGAAAAAATGAAGTTCTTCGCTTCGACGTTTGTCGTCGGTTTGTGTGTCCCGATTGACAGGTTGGGGTCCGACGGACAATAAACGCGTCTGCTAAGATGCACTAGTTGACTTGGTAAGGAGCCGAATTCATTAGCGTCTGTGTTGTGAGTTTTTCTGTCCCTTCGCGTCCCGCTTATCTTACCCTCCCAACCACGATCTCCATCTTGACACCTGTTACTGAGCAGTCTGTCGCCTTTTTTGCATTCTATTTTTCAGTCTCGCTTTTTCGTATGTCTTGTGTTTATGTATTGCGGCATAATAGTTGAAGTATGTTTCTAACCTTCAACTAATATATATATATATATATATATATATATATATATATATATCAGCTGAGGCTGATGTTGCATTCTTGATGCTTCTTCACCGCAGTTGGGCTAAACCAACTTACACTTAAACCAGGTCTTTTTAAGCTGGCTAAATTTCATTCCGCTTTATTTGGTTTGTTCTGCCTCCCTGAATAATGTTCTATTAACTGGCCACGTTGCTTACACTAATTGCGCTTATCTTCGGTAATTTTGTTGCGTTTGTAGCATTTTAAGTAACTTGTGGACATTTCTTACTTATCACGGATTTGTTGCTAACCAACTTACTTCATATGGTAATTTAGCGTAGAGTTATGCCACCGTATCTGTATGCATTATTGGATTTATTTTATTTCAGCTTGTTGTTTAAAGTGTATGGCTGTTGTTTGATATCCCTGGTATGGTTGCGCTTGATGTGTATGTTGACAAGGTGCCTACCTGTCTATTACCCACTACATCGTTCATACTGGCTCCAGGAGACAGTTGGTCGTTGCTGGAGGGGACGGGGTGCACGGTTCTTGTGGCCGTGCTAGGCTCAAAGAGCGGTTCCATGCACTCAGTGTGGAGCGGACTACGGTCCAGCCACCGCCTTGTGTGCGGTTGATTCCCCAAATACAGCGTGCTTGTGTTTGCCTGTGAAGGAGTGTGGGCCGGCTCCGTTGATGAAACGTGGTTCCCATCCGCATGCCTCCCGGTCTTATTCCTTCGGGTTTACACTGGATATGGGGTATGTGGTTGGAGCTGTGGGTGGTGCAGCGCAAGCCATCCATGGTCCCTCTGTAGGCGCAGGCGTCCTGTGGCTTGCCACAGTGACAGGCAAATCCGAAACCGGATGCCGCCAACCATGTATGTATGTATGTATAAAGCTTTATTTGGTTTGTGGAAACCACCTCCCGCTTCTGCTACCTTGGGAGTGTGATGTCGACTGATCAGCAGCTACACGTTGAGTTGCGTAATCGCGTGTCGAAGGCGGCAGCGGCATTCGGGAAGCTAGAGTACCGAGTGTGGAACAACCATCAGCTTTGCATTGGCACGAAGCTGATGGTGTACAAATCCATGGTACTGTCCGTTCTTCTATACATCAGTGAAACGTGGACGATGTACCGGCGGGATGTGCGATATCTCGAGCGGTTCCATCAGCAGTGTCTGCGACGAATTTTGCGGATCGGCTGGGGCGCCAGAGTTGCAGACACGGAAGTGTTGCGCCGAAGTGGGATGTATGCAGTGGACTGCATACTTTTACTGCGACACCTGAGATGGCTCGGCCATGTGAGCCGTATGGATTCGACGCGAATACCGAAACAACTTTTATACGGTCAGCTGAGTATAGGGAAGCGGCATGCTGGGAAACCCAAATTACGTTACCAGGACATGATTAAAGTGAGCCTCACACGTTCTAATCTTGATTGCAGATCATGGGAATCGAAGGCGGTTGATCGTGGTGCATGGCGCGTTCTAATCACGTAGGCAGTTGGTGAGGTGCGGGAGAAAGCCCTCATGCATGCAGAGAAGAAGCGGCAAGTGCCGAAGTGGCAAGCACCGATGAATTGTACTCCATCGACATCGAGCGCATTGTGTTGTAGAACATGCGGTCGCGAGTGCCTTAGTCAGGCAGGCCTAGTGAGCCATGAGAGAGGTCACTCGGGACCACTGCCGAAGCGACGACGGGTCCCACAGTGAACGTAGGCAGCACCGGCGCAGCGTTTGTAGGCACGCTGAATTCGATTTACTAACCGCGTGCTTGCATGCTAAGTCTCTTTATTTCAGGTGGTGGGTTTTCGGTTCTCTCCTAATGCCTTTCTTTCTCATACAAATGTCTAGTGGGCCATGCGCTGTGCCATTTGGGGCCACTACGGAAGCAACGACGGGTCCTGCAGAGAATTACGACGAGCCGGCGCAGCGTTTGTAGGCACGCTGAATTCGATTTACTAACCGCGTGCTTGCATGCTAAGTCTCTTTATTTCAGGTGGTGGGTTTACAGTTTTTACTTTACTGCTTTTCTTTCTCATATAAATATCTCCTTGCACTCTATTCCATTAACTTGCACACATCGCTTCAGCCAATTGTATTCGATTTCCATAACATTTCTGTGTTCGTGGCATTTCGTGAACTATACTTCCTGACCTCGTGCACTTAGCTCGGATTTGTTTGTAAACAACTCATTACCTATGCTATTTAATAAAGGTTTATGTCACCGTTTCCTTATGCATTAATCGAGTTTTTCTCTTTTTCTTTCTCTCTCTCTCTCTCAAGAGATTGGCTGTTGTTTGATATCCCCGGTGTGGCTGCGCTTGATGTGCATGTTGACAAGGTGCCTACCTGTCTATTACCCACTACGTCGTCCATACTGGCTCCAGGAGACAGTTGGTCGTTGCTGGAGGGGACGGGGTGCACGGTTCTTGTGGCCGTGTTAGTCTCGAAGAGTGGTTCCATGCACTCAGTGTGGAGCGGACTACGGTCCAGCCACCGCCTTGTGTGCGCTTGATTCCCCAAATGGAGTGTGCTTGTGTTTGCCTGTGAAGGAGTGTGGGCCGGCTCCGTTGATGAAACGTGGTTCCCATCCGCATGCCTCCCGGTCTTATTCCTTCGGGTTTACACTGGATATGGGGTGTGTGGTTGGAGCTGTGGGTGGTGCAGCGCAAGCCATCCATGGTCCCTCTGTAGGCGCAGGCGTCCTGTGGCTTGCCACAGTGACAGGCAAATCCGAAACCGGATGCCGCCAACCATGTATTTGGTTTGTTCTGCCTCCCTGAATAATGTTCTATTAACTGGCCACGTTGCTTACACTAATTGCGCTTATCTTCGGTAATTTTGTTGCGTTTGTAGCATTTTAAGTAACTTGTGGACATTTCTTCCTTATCACGGATTTGTTGCTAACCAAATTACTTCATATGGTAATTTAGCGTAGAGTTATGCCACCGTATCTGTATGCATTATTGGATTTATTTTATTTCAGCTTGTTGTTTAAAGTGTATGGCTGTTGTTTGATATCCCTGGTATGGTTGAGTTTGATGTGTATGTTGACAAGGTGCCTACCTGTCTATTACCCACTACATCGTTCATACTGGCTCCAGGAGACAGTTGGTCGTTGCTGGAGGGGACGGGGTGCACGGTTCTTGTGGCCGTGCTAGGCTCAAAGAGCGGTTCCATGCACTCAGTGTGGAGCGGACTACGGTCCAGCCACCGCCTTGTGTGCGGTTGATTCCCCAAATACAGCGTGCTTGTGTTTGCCTGTGAAGGAGTGTGGGCCGGCTCCGTTGATGAAACGTGGTTCCCATCCGCATGCCTCCCGGTCTTATTCCTTCGGGTTTACAC